AATTAAAAAATGAAATACCACCTCTTATTCTTGTTTTTTGCAGGCACGGCGATGGCTCAGCAAAAGCCGGCCTGGGACACTACGAGGTATCAAAAATTCAGATCAAATCTGATGGTGGGAATCTTTCAATCTTATCGCAATTTCAATAATGAATTTCAGCAATTTACCATAGCGGATTCTACGGGCGTATCCACTCATAAATATATTGCTGAATCGAGTCTTACTACAGGAATAGAACTGAACTACGACAAATTCAGCCTGGGCTTCGGTATAAGGTCTACCAATAAAAGCAACCACAATTCCAATGGCAATACACAAACTATCAGCGGTAATTTTAATTTTGGAGGCAACAAATGGTTCGTAGAAAATTCTTTAAGGTATTTCCAGGGATTTTACGATGCCAATACAGGGAACTACGATACCACATTTAAAGAATCGGGACGGTATAATTTTCAGCCAAATTTTAGTAACACTTTTACTGCGCACAAAATTTTTATACTTCACCAATCATAAACGCTTTGCTTTTCGTTCAGCCTATGTTTGCAATTACAGGCAGTTAAAAAGCGGCGCCACATGGATCTTCAGTGGTAATAGTACGTTGAACTACATGCACAACGACAGTTCATTTTTTCCTGCGGCTACGCGTGCGTACTATGGAGACTATGGCGCTATGAATACCATGAGAGTTTTTGCAATTGCCGTAAACGCGGGAGGATCTGCCAGTCTTGTGCTCTGGAAAGCCTTCTTCATTAATTTTACCTTTATACTTGGACCCGAGCAACAGTGGCGGACTTATGGCTACACGGACAATCAGTCCCGCAAGCTTTCGTATTTTTCTTTATCCGGAGATATACGCGGTTCGATTGGTTTAAATTTTAAGCGTTTTTATTTTATATCCTTTTCGAGAAATGATTTCGCTGTTTACAACAGTAGTTTTGTAGGTATCACAAATAGTTCCATAGGTGGTGGCTTTATCATGGGCTGGCGTTTTAATTCCAAAACTCCTGAAGCGTATAAAAAATTTCAGAAAACAAAACTTTATTCAT